TCCCGACCCAGGGATCAAACCCATGTCTCCTGCATCTCCCGCACTGGCAGGCGGATTCTTTACCACTGTTTCCACCTGGGAAGCCTGTGGGCTTATCATATATGGTCTGTATTATGTTGAAATATGTTTCTTCTATGGAGCTTCCCTAGTAGCTCAGCTGATAAAGAATCTGCCTGCAATGGAAGAGATCCCCGTTCAATTCCTGGGTTGGGAAGATCCCCTAGAGAAGGACATGCAACCCATTCTAGTATTCTTGCCTGGACAATCCCCATGGACAGAGGAGCCTGGCAGGCTACAGCCCATGGGGTCACAAAGAGTGGGACACGACTGAGCGACTAAGCACAGAACATGCTTTTCACGTAGTGACATCAACAGAGCTGTGCTTGAGGAAAGTGACCAGACAGCACTGCGTGGGGATGAGGAGGGACCAGCACCCTGGGACGGTGAGAAGGCTTCTGTGGCAGGTCAAGCAAGAGGTACTGAATGGTGGAGGCTTGAACAATGGCTGTGACCATGGGAGTGAAGGGGAGGGGACAGGTGCTCCAGACACTAGAGCGCTGGACTCTACAGCCTCATCTCTGGCGGGAATGCGTGGGGCAACGCAGAGAAAGTGTCAGAGCCCGAAGGCTAAAAATGATACAAACAGAAATTGGGAATCCTGGAGGAGAAACAGTTTTAGGAGAAAATATGATGTGTTCTATCTTGGATATACTGACTGTCTGGTTCAACATCTGTCTGGAGAGTACTTGAGGAAATTAGATACACAGGATAGAGCCTCAGAAAATGGTCAGGTCAAGGGATATAGATATTTGAAATAATCAAGACATCTCAAGGCTTTTGATTCGTGTTCAATGTTGGCTTATGTTTTGGGCTTCTGCTTGGCCTGGCATATCTCTTTTTCAAGTTTAGTCTTACTATGTGGTGGTTGAATAGTAACAGGGAGAAAGGCTGTGGGTTCCAAGCTTCCTCCTCACGAGGGACATGGATTCTCATCTTTGACTGGCATCAGGAAATTACCCTTTTAGTGGATAAACAGGCAGGATGAAGCTCTGTTAGTACAGTGCACCAGAGAACGATGACTGGGCAGAACAGAGGTGGTTGGGGAGAGGACAGAGGACTCTTATTGGAGAGATCAGAAAACGTGGGGGAGGGGAGAGAACACGGAGGTGGGGGGAGGAGGGAAAGGGAGAGAAAGAGAAGAGGAGGGAGGAAGCGTTAAATGTCTCTATCCACTGTTTTCTCCCCTTCACTGGCTCCTCGAGTTCTATTCCCCTCAACCTTCAACAGTTCTGGACCTAATTTAAAAAATGATTCTCTGCAACACCAGCTAGGTGTTTCACAACACAGCTCACTTCTGGTGCTAACCACAAGGAGACAACATTAGATTCCACAGGTTAAGGGTTCAGTCCTACAAGCCTACTCTCTTCACCCCTCACTTTGGACACCAGTTCCAAGCCCAGATTATCACCCGTGCTTCTGACAGACGGTAGATTGGAGGATCCAGCAACCCCATCCTTGGGTTTGATTAATTTGCTATAGTAGCTAAGAGAACTTACAGAAGTACATTTTCCTTATCTGATGACTGGTTTATTATAAAAGGATATAACTCAGGAGCAGCTAGATGGAAGAGATGCTTAGGGCAAGGTCTGGGCTTCCCTCATAGCTCAGTTGGTAAATAATCTGTCTGCAATGCAAGAGACCCAGGTTCAATTCCTGGGTCAGGAAGATCCCCTGGAGAAGGAAATGCAACCCACTCCAGTATTCTTGTCTGGAGAACCCCATGGACAGAGGAGCCTGGCAGGCTACAGCCCATGAGGTCCCAAGAGTAGGACATGACTTAGTGACTAAACCACCACCGTGGGGAAAGGACCCAGAACTTCTGTGCCCTCTCCAAGCCACCTTCCCTGAATCTCTAAATGTTCATCTGCAAGCTCTCTGAACCATATCCTTTTTGGTTTTGGTGGAGGCTTCATTACATAGGTATAATTGATTTAAATCATTGCATGCTTACTCACTCAGTCATGTCTGACTCTTTGTGACCCCACGGACTGCAGCCCACCAGGTTCCTATGTCCATGGGATTCTCCAGGCAAAAATACTGGAGTGGGTTACCATGCCCTCCTTCAAGGGAACTTCCCAACCCAGGAATTGAATCAGGGTCTCCTGCATTGCAGGACGATTCTTTACTAGCTGAGCTACCAGGGAAGCCCTTAAGTCATTGGCCGTTGGTGATTAAGCTCAATCTCCAACCCCTGTCCCCTCCCTGGAGTTCAGGAGGTGGAACTGAAAGTTCCAACCAGTTCAGCCCAGTGTAGGTCTCTACTGGGCAGTCTTTGTTCAAGGACTCTCATCAGCCTGGCTGAGATTTTCTCAGGGCTGAACTGCGGTTTAAGTTTCTTCCTTTTAAATCCTCTTTTCCTTCTCTTTCTTGTTTCAGACCTGTATTGGCACCCACTCGTGCACTTTCCACCATTAGTCTCTTTAGGTATTTTCCCCCAGTGAGTGCCTTGCATGTCTGTTTCTGTCTTGGCGTCTGAACTGACATGTAGGGATATCGATAGGACCTACCTTAATGGGCTGTTATGAAAATTCAATGACTTAATATACATGAAATGCTTAGAAGAGGACCTGTAATACAGCAGGTGCTTTGCAAGTGTTAGCTGCTCTTACTATAAGTTTATTAAGCTTTTGATCTCAAGTTATATTTTATCCTCACTAGAAAATCTCTCAGTTTCTGGACTGGCTTGGAAGCCTCTCCTGAATGCTTCAAGAGCATCTGTCCCTTACTTCTACTACGGTTGGCCCTCCACAATTATGAATTTTGCACCTGCAGATTCAACCAACCACAGATTAAAAATATTAGGAAAAAAATTTCCGGAAAGTTCCAAAAAAGCTAAACTTGAATTTGCTTCATGCCAGCAACTATTTACATAGCAATTACACCATATTTACAACTAATTACAGGCATTTACTTTGTATTTTCACCTATTTCCATATCATTTACATTATATTAGGTGTGGTAAGTAATCTAGAGATGATTTAAAGAGGATGTTCATAGGTTATATGCAAATGCTATGCCATTTTACATAAGGGATGGAACATCCTCAGATTTTGCTATTTGTGATGGGTCCTGGGACCAACCCCTCATGGATACCAAGGGAAGACTGTAAATCACATTGTTTTCTTGTCAGTCTTTACACTTAGACCCTGAATTCAATGCATAATGGAATCTTGTTTTGTTCACTTTTGTGTATCAGTGCTTACCATTGTGTCTGACTCATAGTGCATGTTGAATTGATGTTGTTGAATGAAAATGATTCAGTGGAATCTTAACAGATGAATATTATTTGTCAAATGGATGAGAGCTGGAAAAGAATTATAGAGAGAATTGTATACTGGGGCATGAAAAGCCTGTACTGTGTGGGTTATTGAAAGGTGCTTATTACAGCTAAAGAGTAGGGTGCAAAAGAGGGTGGTAAAAGAGGAGGCTAAGAAAGAAATCTGGGACCAGAGCACTGGGGAGACCTTAAAACCAAGCTAAGGTAAGCATTGTGTAGGCCTTGTGATGTCCTAGTGGGCTCAAACCCATCTCTTTTAAGAAAACTTTATTTACGGCTGCTCTGGGTCTTTGTTGCTGCGCTTGGGCTTTCTCTAGTTGCGGTGACGGGGGCTGACTCTGGTTATGGCGGGTGGGTTTCTAGCTGTGCTGGCTTCTCTTGTGGAGCATGGGCTCCAGGCATGCGGGCTTCACTGTTCGCTGCACGTGGGCTCAGTAGTTGTGGGTCTCAGGGTCTAGAGCACAGGCTCATGAGTTGCAGTGCTCAGGCTGAGTTGCCCCATGGCACGTGGGATCTTCTCAGGCCAGGGATCCAACTGGTGTCCCCTACATTACAACGTGATTCTCAACCACGAGACCACCAGGGAAGCCCCTACACACATCTTTGACTTCTATCTATTACTTTCCCTGGTGGCTCCGTGTTAAAGAATCCACCTGCCAATGCAGGAGACACAGGAGATTCAGGAGATTCGAATCTGATCCTTGGGCTGGGAAGAGTCTCTGGAGAAGGAAATGGCAACCCACTCCAGTATTCTTGCCTGGGAAATCCCAAGGACTGAGGAGCCTGGCGGCCTACAGTCCTTGGGGCCGCACAGAGTCGAAAACGACTGAGGACTGAGCATGGACACGACTTTAGGAGTCATATGTTAGTTCAGCCAGAAACTACAGATTGCCCCCAGAAGGTGGATGCTTCTCTAGAACTATGTATAGAAGTGTAGGCATCTCTGAACATTCATTTCAACAATGCATATGATTGATCTATATTTACAAACTGCTTTGGCTGCAATGTCTCACCAAACTGTTGGGTTTCCTAACTAATGTCTTTGCCTTCATCACACCGCTGGTTAATCCATCCTTCATTCCCACTGTGACACAGATCTTTCTAAAGCTAAATCTGGCCTTCTTAGCCTTCAGTTTAATACCTTCTAATGGCACACGCTTGTTGCCTGTAAGATAACATCCAGATTCCTTAGTGTGGTTTAGAGGACCCCTCCTGGTCTGGCCCTTCACCACTTCCACTTCCACCTTCCACTTCTTCCATATGCTCTCTACACCACCTGAACTGCTTGTCGGGATCAGGAAGTTTTATGCTGCTCACACCTCCTTTCATGTACACATCATTGCTGCCCGGAATGTCATTTCATCCTTACCAACTTTTGAACTCTTTACCTGTTTTATTGGAAGTATTTAAAAAATCATCGCCTCTGTGAAGCTAGGTCTATCTTAGGGGGCAGTGGGGCACCCTCCCTTACAGCTCCATCAGACTGTGTGTACTTCTGCTCGGCACCTGCCTCATTGCAATGCAGTTGTTTGGTTACTTCCCTGCCCCGCTGTCTACACTGTGGCCAGAGGGGAGGACCATGTAGTAGTTAACACAGAGTCCTCGCACACAGTGCAGTGGGTGGCACATATCAAATACCAGTTAAAGAAAAAAGGAAGGAATAAAGTGAAAGCTGTTCTTTTTCTTTTGAAGGAGGTCCTCTCACCATGTGGCTGTACCTGGCGGTCCTCGGGGGCCTGTTCTACCTCCTGCGCTGGTATCGGGAGAGGCAGGTGGTGAGCCACCTCCAGGACAAGTTCGTCTTCATCACGGGCTGTGACTCGGGCTTCGGGAACAAGCTGGCCAGGCAGCTGGACCTGCGAGGCTTGAGGGTCCTGGCTGGGTGTCTGACGGAGCAGGGGGCCGAGCAGCTGAGGAACCAGACATCAGGCAGGCTGCAGACGGTGATCCTGGACGTCACCAAGACTGAGAGCATCGCTGCGGCCACCGAGTGGGTGAAGGAGCGTGTGGGGGACAGAGGTATGGGGAAGTTTTTTCTCCTTTCATTTACTCAGGCATGAAGATGTTAACATTTTATGTGCATATATATTACACATATATAATCTCAAAAGCAGGGCTTGAAGGACTGGCTTTGTCATTTGAAAGAAAGTTGTGATCTCTGGCAGTGTTTCCTTTCCTTAACAATGTTTGTATTGAAAAATGAACCCAGTAGATTTCAGGCCGTTATCTCACCTTGCAAGTGAAGTATTTACAACCACAATTCTTTTCTTCACAATTCTTTATGTTTGAAGAATTTTCAAGGGGTTCTTAAGAATCAGCTTCTTCTTCCCTTGGCTAGCATCTAAAATACAGACATTCCTAGAAGCCAGGCTTTGATCGTCTTCTTTTTTTAAAATAAAATTTCATTTTATTTTTTCTAATTAATAGACTGTATTCCTTAGAGCAGTGATAGATTTACAGAAAAGTTGGAAAGCACAGAGTTCCCATATGCAACTGCCTTCTTATAGTTTCTCCTATTATTAACATCTTGCATTGGTGTGGTACATTTATTACACTGATAAACCGACATTGATACATTAGCATTAATGAAAGTCTACAGTTTACATTAGGATCCACTTTGTGTTGTATGGTTCTATAGGTTTTGCCAAATGTGAAATATCCTGTATTTACCTTTATAGGATGATGCAGAATACTTTCAGTGCCCTTAAAATCCTCTGGCTCCACCTATTCATCTCTTCTGCTCTCCCCACCTCCTCCCCAATCCTGGCAACTGTGCAGCCTTTTACTCTTTCCATGTTATTGTTGTGCAGTCACTCAGTCATGTCCGACTCTTTGCAGCCCCAGGGACTGCAGCACGCCAGGCTTCCCTGTCCACCATCTCCTGGAGCTTGCTCAAACTCATGTCCATCGAGTCAGTGATGCCGTCCGACCATCTCGTCCTCTGTTCTCCCCACTCTTTCCATAGTCTTGCCTTTTCTCAGATGTCATGCAGTTGGAATCATATTGGATGTAGCTTTTTAGACCAGCTTCTTTCATTTAAGAATATGCGCTTACGGTCCCTTTGTGTTTCTCTGTGGCTTGAGTACTCTTTAATTTATTACTGAGTAATATTCCACTGTGTGTGCCACAGTTTGCTTATCCACCCACTCACTGAAGGACATCTTGGTTGTTTTGAAGTTTCTGGCAATTATGGGTAATTCCTCTTTTCTAAAGTTCATTTTCTCTGCTTATTATCCAATTCCTCTTTGATCCCCTTCTTCCTTCTCTAGTTGTTTTATGATTCATTAGGTCCTGATAATTGGACCTCCTATATAGCTATTCATCCAATGAGTTCTAAAATAGTAATAAAATTTTTTTTTTGATTGAAGAATGTTTATTTTTTTTAAAATTTACTTTAAATTAGAAAACCGATTTTAAAATATTACTCCTACCTGAGGATGTTCTTGACTCCAGAGTCAGAAGTTATGGTTAGTTATAGCCTCTGTGCTGTATATAGTGGTTTATTTCTACTGTACTGTTACTATTATTGTTAATGTTTTCCCACCTGTTAGAGAGTGTGCTCATCAAGGACGTGGATCTCTCATAAGCATCACTGTATCCCCGTTTCTAACATATTGTCTGGTACATGGTAAGGGTTCAACAAGTGTTGAATGGATCTCATTTACACATAGTTTAATCTATTACCTTTATGCCCTTGATTTCTAAATTATTTCTTGTTTATCACAATTGAATTTCCAACTACTTGCTGGCTTTCTCAACTGGAAATTCTACTGGAAGCTCAAACTCACCAGATCTGAAGGAGAACTCTTATTGTCTCATCTTCACCAAATCTGCTTTTCGTTTTGGTCCTTGAGACTGATTCTTCTCCTCTCCCTCCATCCCCAGAGCTCAAGAGAAGAAGTTATACTTTCAGTCCTTTGCAAGTACTTTCTGTTTCACCCTTAAAGTGATAATATAGCCATTGAATCCAGAAAGAATCTTTTTTAGTAGACTCCCTACCTTAGTGGGCCTTGGACTTCATATCTTCTAATTGTATATATTTTTTGATGCTATAAATACTAAAGTTCAATTCACATTGGTTGGCAAATTCCCTCAAATCAAAAGCTATCATTAGGGTTCTGTTTATCTCCCTGGATTCCTGCCTTCTCTTTGTATTTGGCTTGACCTTGTTTTATTTTCTTACTGATAGAGGTGTTTAAGATTGAAAGAACATATTTTGATTTGTTTAAGATTGAAAAAGTATATTTTTTCTAGCATTTTTAGCTGTTTTCAGCAGAAAGATTGATCAAGGTAGAAGTCTGTCATTTTTGTCCGAAATGAAACTCCTGCTTTGATTTTTATTGCTTTAGGGCTCTGGGGTCTGGTCAACAATGCAGGCGTTTTTCACTCACATGGCTGTGCTGAGTGGCTGAAGATTGAGACCTACAAGAACACCCTTAGGGTGAACCTCGTTGGTTTGATAGAGGTGACCCTGAGCATGCTTCCCCTGGTAAGGAGAGCACAGGGGAGAATTGTCAATGTCTCCAGCATTCTGGGAAGAATTGCTTTCTTTGGAGCAGCCTACTCTTGTTCCAAGTATGGAGTGGAAGCCTTCTCAGATATTCTGAGGTAAGACTCTAAAGTTAAAACAATCTAGAAGAGTGGGATGGGGAGGGAGATGGAGGGAGGTGTGGGAAGGAGGGGACATGTCTGATTCTTTTTGATGAATGACAGAAAGCCACAAAATTCTATAAAGCAGTTATCCCTCAGTTAAAGAAATAAAGTGGCAAAGAAACCCCCAGACTAACAAAAGCAACCACTGAGCACTTCAATGTGTCTGAGTCACCACTACCTACTAGTCACTAGTCACTGTCACCTATCTTATCTCATTTCATCACTTCCAAAATCTGGTATGTTTACTAGATATTATTATTAGACAATAATTAAATATTATTGTTTACTAGATGCTATTGCTAGTCTGTTTTATACAGAAAGCCGAGGCTCAGATTTGGTGTCTATTCAAGTTCACCTGCAACAGCGATGATTTGGCAGACCCGTGTTTCGGCTCCAAGTCCTTGTCTCCAGTCACCACACCACGTTTTAACTCTCAATATATATCCTTGATAAAATTTTGTTTCTGAAGAGAGCATGACTGTCCTCTTTCCTCCTGTCCTCGTCTCTTCACGGCGATTCTTTCTGGTGCTCATCTGCTTCCAGTTAACTTATTTCATCCCTTTATTCTGTATATCTTCTCTTTATCTAGTCATTTCTTTTCTTTCTTATAACTTTAGTTTGCCACAACCCTCTAATGGCCCTGCCTCTACCTCCTGGCTTTTAAAAATACCTCATTTCAGCTTCCTGCTCCTCTATCAGCAGTTCCTCCTTTTTATAGTTCCCTTTGTATTTTAATTTCTGAGACAGAGAATCCTGTTGGGCCTGAGATCATTTTTTTGTGTGTTCTGTGTGCCACGCATGGTGTGATTTTTTTGCACTTGCTATCTGTTAGGCACTGCTGTGGGTATTTCACATCTAATGAATCATTTAATTGTCATAGCAATCCAGTGAGGAAGAAGTTATTTTTGTCCTTATTGTATGTCTAGGGAAACTGAGGCACAGAGGTTCAGTAATTTGCCACGGCCACCTCGGTAATAGCGGGCTGAGCCACTGTCCAGTCCTAAGAGGGCTCTCCTCCCATCAAGGACCCTTCCTGGTCCTGCCAGCTGTAGACATGAGGATGCAGTCACGCGGTACAGAATAGCGCGCACTCTCCTTCAGCAGAGGCTGACTCTAGGGGCAGCTTCTCTTAGAAACAAGCTACGAATATTACAGACACCATGAATTAACTTCCTGTGGCGGTTGTAAGAAGTTTCCAGAACTAATTTACGGTGCATGGTATCTTACAACAGCACACATTTATTCTCTCACAGTTCTGGAGTCTAGGAGTCTGAAATCAGCATCACTGGGCCAAAGTCAGTTGTTGACAGGGCCATGTTCTTCTGAAGGCTCTAGGAGAGAATCTGTTACTTGCCTCCTGCTTCTGGTGGCTGCTGGAATTCCTTGGCGTGTGGCCACATCAACCTCTGCCTTTGGTCACTTTGCCTTCTTTTCCTCTGCCTCTCTTATAAGGACAGTTGTGATTGCATTTAGGATGCACCCAGATCACCTGGCACAGTCTCCCTAGCTTAAGATCTTGAACTCAATTAAACTTGCAAAGTCTTTGCCACATAAGGTAACATTTACAGGTTTCAGGGATTAGGACCTGATATGTTTGGGAGTCATCATTTAGCTTACCACATGCCATGACTGGTATATATCTAATACAATGTGCATATCATATTATCTGCTTAGGAGAGGAGTAGGGAAATAGCCGAGGACATTACATGAGTTGTTATTATATGGCAGGCATCTTTCCTGGCTTCCTGCCTATCCAACATTTTGACCACCTCCATGGGGCCGTGGCCTGTTGATTTACGACCGCCCATGACTCGGACTCCTTGAATCATTCCCAGGCCAAGAGCGAAGACATGCCCTTCCAACCTTTAAATCATTCTTTAGTTCCTTTAGGAAATTCCAGTTTGCCTTAATTATGCTAAGGATAAACAGAGAAAGGAAGTTTTGTCCCCCATTTGAGTTCGAGTTTTAAAGGGGATGGTGATGTGGTATGTTGGCAGTGTATGAGAAAGCTGCAAGGGGAAGTGAAATGCAAAGGGCCAAGGCACCCCTGGCTTGCCCAGCCCCTCCTTCTGCTCCAATGCACACAGGCACCTGGAGAATCATTTTCTGAAGCTCTAACTTGAAAGGTTTTAGGCTTTGGAGTGATAAGGGAGGGTTTTCCTTAAAGCAGTGGTTCTTAACTTTTAGCATGCCTCAGAGTCAACTGGAAGGCTACTTTGGACAGATTGTCGGTTCTTACCCCCACAGTTTCTGATTTAGTAAATTTAGACTTGGACTCAGTAATCTGCATTCTCAATGCTGCATTCCTAGATGCTGATTCTATTGATCTGGGGTCCACACTTTGAGAACCATTCATTGCTTTAGAGGATCACGATGCTTTGTGTTTTATATTCTTATGAAACACTGCTCCAAACCTTTCTCCTTGACATCAGCTTGGGCTTCATCTTCTCTAGCAAGGTGCTCCAACCTCTAGAGCAGGCAGCACCCCTCATCCCTGTCCCGGAGTACTGAAAGCATACCTCACAGGGTGCACAGTGCCATCTTACTTCACTCGGTGAAGGCAGCACTTCGCGTAGTGCCTGATACACACACAGCCCCCTGATGAATACTTTTGGAAATGTTTTTTGAACTAACCTGAATATTCTGGAGTGACCAGTGACTTGTCAATTTCATGCCCACGTCATATTCCACTAATGGTCTCTTGCAGTCTTTGAACACACTGTAATTTTTCACAGCCCCCTGCTTCTGTGTGTGCACTTCCTTCAGTATGGTATTCCACTCCACTCTTTCTTCACTTGGAAATTTCCTCTTTATCCTTGGAGGCTCAACTGAAACATTTTCTCCTTACTGAAGCCTTCTTTGACTCCCTCAGAAAGTCTCCATCCTCTTTTCTACTATGTAGCCCCCTGAATTGGAGAAGGCAATGGCACTCCACTCCAGTGCTCTTGCCTGGAAAATCCTGTGGACAGAGGAGCATGGTGGGCTGCAGTCCATGGGGTCGCTAAGAGTCGGACATGACTGAGCGAATTCACTTTCACTTTTCACTTTCATGCATTGGAGAAGGAAATGGCAACCCACTCCAGTGTTCTTGCCTGGAGAATCCCAGGGACGGGGGAGCCTGGTGGGCTGCCGTCTATGGGGTTGCACAGAGTCGGACATGACTGAAGTGACTTAGCAGCAGCAGCAGCCCCCTGAATACCTTGCGTTTATAATTCTTTTGATTTGTATTGCAATTATTTGCTTATTTATCAGACTCACTCACTGTGGGCTTTTCAGGGGTGGTGAGCAGAGTCTTAATTTACTGAGACTGTGCATGCAAAATACTTAGCCTGGTAGATACCATAAATACATTAATTTTCCTTATTATTCCTTGTATTCTTCATTTTTCTAGTGTATAGCACATGGTCGAAAGTGAAGAACTCTGTTAAATGAATGGATGTGGAATTGAATGGTTATGGTAGTTTGTATAATCATATCCCAATTATTGCACCTAGGGATGTATAAAATTTTATTTTATTCCCCTCCATTTCTTTATCCTTTAAAATATTCAGCAAAGGTGTTTTTATAACTATTTTGTTTTCTTTCTGAAAACAGTGAAATTGTGGTATCTTTCAATCAGAGGAGTTAACTTGAAGGTTTTCGTTTTTTTCCACTAGGCGTGAGCTTCAACATTTTGGGGTGAAAGTCAGTATGGTTGAACCTGGCTACTTCAGAACAGCAATGACAGATGTGCAGAAGTCCTTAGAGATGATGAAACAAACCTGGAATGAAGCCCCTGCGCATATTAAGGAGACCTACGGACAGAAGTTTTTTGATGCCTGTGAGCTTTTCTTTTAATGGCACGATGGATAATCTTTCATGAAAAGGGCAAAGGTGGTTGGTAGAGAGTGATTGGGAGATCTTCTAAGAATAAATCACCTTCCATAAATCCTTCCCAAGACAAGAGGGAAGGTTCAGGACGGTCCCAGTGCCTTCATAGTTGGCGTGGTGACAGCTGCTGTGGCTCAGGAAGAGGCCATACAAGCAGCCTCAGGCCAGAGCTTGCCCTGCCTTGTCACCTATGGGCCGGGACCCCGGAGCACCAGGGAGGTCTTATGTGGCTGGAGGCGTGGAGCCTCTGGATTTTGTGAGGGGGTGCCCCTCCACAGATTGAAGGGGCTGGTGCGGGAGGCCTGCTTAGCTGAGCATTCAGTATTATCTACTCTTTGGGTAGCAGCCTAGCCGCAAACTCCACATTTTATTATGAGAGGCGGCAGGGTGCATACAGGTGGAGCCAGGTGAGTGGGTTAGGGCAGGATTTGCAGGGCATTGTCGGCCACTGCCCGAGGCTGGACCTCATGTGCAGGCCATGGGAGTTTGGCAGGAGTGAGAAGGTTCAATTTCATGGCATGAAGGAGGGTCGCTTTGGGGGAAGAGGCAGGGCAGCCCTTTAAGTAGAAGAAAGTCATGCACACTAGTGTGGGGTGCACCTTCCTGGGGAAGGGGTACTTTTTCTTCACATAAGAATTTAGCAGCTTGCCAAGGCCGAAGGGAGCAGCTCTCTTTTCCCGTTCACAGAAGGCCCTGTGGCAGGTAGCAGTAGCCCTGGCCTTGACTTTGGGTGATATCTCAGTGCAGAGAAAGGAGAAGGGGAATGTGCACGTGGAAAGCTCCTGATCTACAGCCCTGTCTTCTGGGTACCTCAGGCTTAGGAGGTGACTATCCACAGAGGGGAGAAATTGGATCAAGGAAAGGCTGATAGAACAGTTCCTGAGCCGCTCAGAATACAAAGCTAGGGAACTACAATTCTTAACAAGTCAGGCGGCCAGCTGCTCTGCTGAGCTCTTCTCTACCTAAACTTTTGAGCTATTAGAGAATTTGTCTCCCCTTGTGGGTACATATATTTGACAATAGAAATCAAAGGAAAAGAGAATTTACTAAGAAATGGCTTTATGTAAAAGGAGGGATATGTGTATTTAATGATTTAAAGGAGTTGAAATTGTTCATTTATTTGTCTCTAGGTCAGAATAATTTATATCAGTGCTACCCAATAGATATATGAGAAGCATATATATAATCTTTAATTTTCCAGTAGATACTTTTAAAAAAGAAAAAATAAACAGGTTAAATTAATTTTAGTACATTTTACTTTAACCCCATATATGTATCCAAAATACTATCATTTAACATTTATTATCAATATAAAAGTTATTGATAAGATATTTTATATTTTTTCCCCATTAGTCTTTGAAAATTGATGTGTAGTTTGAACTCACAGCACATCTCTTAGCGACCCCATGGACTACAGCCCACCAGGCTCCTCCGTCCATGGGGTTTTCCATGGATTTGCTCCGTCCATGGGGCAAGAGTACTGGAGTGGGGCGACATTGCCTTCTCCGCATCTCAACTGGGATACTAAGTTTTCCTAGGAAGTACTTGGATTATTACAATTGATAGTTTCTAGAAGCATTATTCATAATAGCCCCAGAGTGGAAACAGCTCAAATGTCTATCAACTGGTGAACGGATAAACAAATGTGGAATAGCCATACGATGGAATATTACTTGGCAATAAAAATAAATGAAGTACTGATACACACTACAACATGGCTAAACTCTGAGGACACTTTGCTCCCTGAAGGACGCCAGTCACAAAAGCCCATGATCTATGATTCTATTTATATGAAATATCCATAAAAGGCAATCTGTAAAGACAGAAAGTAGATCACCATTTGCCTAGGGCAAGGGTGGGTTGGCAGGAAATGGGAGAGTGATTGCTAATGGCTATAAAGTTTCTTTTTGGGATGATGAAAATGTTTTAAACTTAGACTGTGGTGATGGTTGCATAATTCTGGATAAACTGAAAGTCATTGATTTGTATATTTTATTTTTATTTATTTATTATTATTTGATTACTTGGCTTGTGGGATGTCAATTTCCTAACCAGGGACTGAACCCAAGTCACAGCAGTGAAAGCATTGAATCCTAACCACTGGATCACTAGGGCAGTCCCCGATTCGTATACTTGATTTTGAAAAGTTTTTATCTACTTATTTCTTTTGGCTGCGCTGGATCTTCCTTGCTGTGCATGCCTTTCTCTTTAGCGGCGAGCAGGGACTACTTTCTGGTTGGGATGCTGTAGTCCTCTCATCGCCGTGGCTTCTTCCGTTGCAGAGCACGGATTCGGCGCACAGGCTTCAGTAGTTGTGGTGGCCAGGCTTATTTACCTGTGGCATGTGGAATCTGCCTGGACCAGGGATCCAAGCAAACTGAATTCTTAACCACTGGACCACCAGGGAAGCCCTGGCTTATGTACTTGAAATGGATGATTTTTATGCATGTGAATTATCTCAATAAAGATGCTAAAAAATTTCCAATTGAAAAGTAGATTCACATACCTATATTGTTCCAAACATATTTAAAAATTTCCAATAACAGAATTGAGCTTTAAAATTAATTAAACTTAAAAATTCAGTTTTCAGTCATACTAGCTATGTTTTATGTGCTCATTAGTTACATGTGGCTAGTGGCTGTTATACTGGGAAGCATAGGTCCGATAGGCCTAATTCTTGTGGAACTGAAATGTAGTTAGACTTCCGTGACCGCGTGCAACAGGATCTTAGAAATATCAACAATAAGTTGAGAGGGAAAGTGAAGTTGCTCAGTCGTGTCCGACTGTTTGTGACCCCACGGACTGTAGCCTGTCAGGTTCCTCTGTCCATGGGATTTTCCAGGCAAGAATACTGTAGTGGGTTTCCATTTCCGTCTCCAGGGGATCTTCCTAACCCAGGGATCGAACCCAGGTCTCCTGCATCGCAGGCAGACTCTTTACCGTCTGAGCCACTAGGGAATCCCTAATCAATAAGATTGCTGACTGCCATTTTTCTTTTTGTTTACAGATCACGACATCATGAAACAAGGGATAATGGGTTGTAGCACAAACCTAAACCTGGTCACCGACTGCATGGAACACGCTCTGACATCCGCTCATCCCCGCGCTCGATACTCAGCTGGCTGGAATGCTCAGTTTTTCTTTGTCCCTCTATCTTATTTACCTACATCCCTGGCAGACTACATATTGACTAGATCTTGGCCCAAACCAGCGCAGGCAGTCTAAAGAAAAATGGTCTGATGGCCCTTGAAATGAAGACAAAAATTTGAAATTGATGGTGTCTCGCTAATCCTAATGCATAATCTGTAATTTTTCTAGCAATCATCTTTCTTGCTTAAATTCATTTATCTGACACCATCAGAGAACCAACATGTTAAAGTTATAGATATCCAAAGCTTACTCCCTTTAGGTGCTAAATCTCTACTATTTTAGCCATTTTTGGATGACAATATTTCCAAAATGCATCAATCTTCTTGCCCTGTTAGAGTAGACTAAAAACAGTTTAGCTTGTTTTGATGCTATTTCTTTATGTAAGTGAATAGCTGTTCTGTGCTGTGATCAGCTGTTGCTCAGGGAATATTGAGAAACGTGGGTCTGTTAATTCTTCCTTGAAATGGGTCTGTACTTTGGTGCTTTTAATAAATGATTAATTGCATCTTCTTGCTATTAGCCAGCTGTTTTTGGATATGTTTCTCCTTTATTTAAAAAGAACTGATCATTAATTTTTAAAAATTTAAAAGTAATGTAGTTATTAATTTAATATAGTTAAATTTAAAAGTAATGTATGCTTAGTTAAAAATTAAATTATTACTCAAAAGCTTAAAATGAAAATATAATTGTTTCCCACCTGCATTGCTGCTCCTCAGAGATGAGTGCTTTCGACTTTCAGGTATTTCTTCTGATATATATCACTGTATTTTTTAATAATATACCTCATTCCATTATTTCTTGATTTATTAATTTTAGATGCTTTTGATTAAGTTACTGTTAGGATAAATGAGAATATAGCTCTTTACAGCACTTTCCTGACCATTTTATCTCCATACTTCTTTCTTTTTCCTTAAATTTATTTTTTATTGAAGTATAGTTGTATTACAATATATTAATTACTGCTGTTCAGCAAGTGGCTCAGTTATACATATATATATATATACATATATATATATATATAGTTTCTTTTTCATATTCTTTTCCATTATGATTTATCACAGGATACTGAATGTAGTTCCCTCTGCTATACAGTAGGATTTTGCATGTTACCAACAGAGGATTGGATAAATGCAATGGAGTATTAGCCATAAATGGTACACATATATATAATGGAATATTACCCAGCCATAAAAAGAGTGAAATAATGCCATTTGCAGCAACACTGATGAACCTAGAGATTATAATATTGAGTGAAGTAAGTCAGACATAGGAAGACAAAGATGATATTGTTTATATGTGAAATCTAAAAAAAAGGTACAAATGAACTTACCTACAAAACGGAAATGGAGTTACAGTTGTGGAGAATAATCTTAAGGTTACAAGGGGGTGAGGGAGGGAGGGACAAATGAGAAAAATGAGATTGACAGATGGTCAGTACTACACATAGGAAAGAGAACGAATAAGGACTATGTCGCACAGGGAGCCCTGCTCAATACTCTTGTGATGCCTACATGGGAAAAGAACCTAAAAACAATGGGTTTATGTGTATGTGTAACAGATGCACCTTGCTGCACGCCTGAAACTGAAATATGCTGTGGATCCCCTACACTGCAGCAGCAACTTTAAAAGATCTTTTGCGAGTCTGGCAGTTTTGGAGAGCATGCTGGGCTGTGCGTAGCTGCTCAGTCCTGTCTGACACTGTGGCCCCAGGACTGGATGGAACCCAGGCCTCCTGCTTGCAGGCTGATCCCTTCCTGCCTGAGCCACCGGGTAAGAGTACAGGCCAGGTATCAAAGTGTCGCCCAGCTTGGACTGTGTGACCCAGTCTCACGGTCAGATCCAGGCTTCGCACTTTAGCAGAAATGACACAGAGTGCATCACTGTGTCCCTCTCAGCGCCTCCCATCAGTAGGCACAGTGAGATAAGTTTATCTCAGTACTGGTGATGTTAGGTTTGAAGCCTTGGTGAAAGTAGTCTGCCATGTTTCTCCACTATAAAGCTAATTGTTCCCCATGTAATTAACACGTAATTTTTGTACACTAATAAAAATGTTAAAAAAAAGTCATACAGCTTGGAGATTTCACATCAAATATAAACACCTAATATGTGTACAAAACAGTAAAAGTAAAAACAATGATCAAAAAGATCATGATCTTGATATTTCAGAAACACAAAAAGTTATCACCAAACATCTTCTGAGTTTTGGCACAGTTTTTACATTGTATTTTCCATTAAAAGAAATGCTTATATTAAAAAAAAAAGTAATTTTTCAGGATACTTCCACATTATATAAATGCCCCATTCCTCATCAAACTTTTACCTTCTCATTTTAGAATTATTTATAATTCTTTTAAAATCAGTTCTTACTATGATGGTTGCAAATGGTGATTTTTTTAGATCCATCCTTTCATCTATGTTTACAAGTTGAAATTCCCATTCCCTTTATTTTTTATTTATTGTAAGAATGGATTCATGGATTCTTATCTTATTCAATTAGTTATAGGCCATTTATGTCATAATATGTTTCATATTTTTATAACTCCTATATCCATAGCACTTAAAGCAATCTACTTTTAGAGTTCAATATTTGCTTGTGGATTTTTTTGTCTTTAAACTGAAAATATATCTAGAACTTCTAAATATTGTTTTTTTTTCCTTCCCATTCAATGTCTTTTATTGTTTATTTGGGGCTTTCCTGGTGGCTCAGCTAGTAAAGAATCTGCCTGCAATGTGGGAGACCTGGGTTTGAACCCTGGGTTGGAAAGATCCTCTGGAGAAGGTAACTGGCTACCCACTCCAGTATTCTGGCCAGGAGAATTCCGTGGACTGTATAGTCCATGGGGTTGCAAACAGCTGGACACGACGGAGTGACTTTCACTTTCACTTTTTCATTATTCATTTGAAGTATAATTTGGCTCATTCTTTTCCTGTTAGTATTTAATTTGGTATCTTCCCCCACTCCTGCATCCTTATTGATATAATTTTATTTTTTGAATCCATAAAACATTAACATGATTTTAAAGTCCAACCTGAATTATTTTGAAGAAATCTCAGACATCATAGAGAGACTTAAAATGTTACCATTTGTAATAGCAACAACAAAAATATAAGGTACCTAGGAATAAATTTAACAAAAGATGTAGAATATCCTCACATAGAAAATTATAAATTTTCATTGTAAGATATCAAAGAAAGTCTTTGTAAGTCTAAAAAGATACAATATTCAGGAACAGGAATTTTTGAACATCAGGAAAAGGTATAGATTTATCAACTTCCCCTGAAATAATTTATGAGTTCAGTGTACTTCCAGACCAGTCAAAATTCCAACAGCATTTTATTCAAATTGGGAAGCTTGTTTTTAAATTTAATTGGAAGAGCAGAAAGGCATGCAGAACCACGAGGATTTTGGTGAACAAGGTGAGGAAAACTTGCCTCCCCAAACATTAAGATTTACTATAAAACAGTAATAATGTACACAAAGCAAAGACAAATGGATGTGATGAACAGAGTAAGGAACTGATGCACATGTGGAAACTTGGTATGACAGCAGTATCATAACGAGGTAGTGGGGAAACGATTCAGGGACGGTGATAAAACAACAGCTTTTTCTTAAAGAATATATTAAAATTAGATCCCTACCACCCCCCACCCCACCCCAAATACAAAAATGAATTCCAGAGGAACCAGTACCTAAATGTGAAAAGCCAAAATTTAAAACTGTCAAAACCTTGAGAATATATTATGTCTTTAGGATAGGAAAGGCTTTTTATATAAGATAGACACACAAAAACACAATCATAAAAGGAAAAGTCTGCCTATAGTTAAAATTCTTCCCAGGTGGCACTAGTGGTAAAGAACTTGCCTGCTGGTCCTAAGATGGCAGAGGAATAGGACGGGGAGACCACTTTCTCCCCCACAAATTCATCAAAAGAACATTTGAACACCGAGAAAATTCCACAAAACAACTTCTGATGCTGGCAGAAGACATCAGGCACCCAGAAAGACAGCCCATTTTCTTCAAAAGGAGATGTTTTATCATTGGTGCTGTTTAGATGGAGAAGTCTTGAGAGTACTGTAAGAATAAGATAAAAACCAGAGGCAGGAGGCTTAAATCCAAATCCTGAGAACACCAGAGAACTCCTGAACCCAGGGAACATTAATCGATAGGAGCTCATCAAAAGCCTTCATACCTACACTGAAACCAAGCACCACCCAAAGGCCAACAAGCTTCAGAGCAAGACATACCATGCTAATTCTCCAGCAACACAAAAACATAACCCTGTTCTTCAATATACAGGCTGCCCAAAGTCACACCAAACCCACTGACATCTCAAAACTTATTACTGGACACTTAATTTCACTCCAGAGAGAAGAAATCCAGCTCCACCCACCAGAACACTGACACAAGCTTCCCTAACCAGGAAACCTTGACAAGCCACCCATCCAACCCCACCCACAGTGAGGAACCTCTACAATAAAGAGGAACCACCAACTGCCAGGATACAGAAAGGCCAACCCAAACACAGCAATCTAAACAAGATGAAAAGGCAGAGAAATACTCAGAAGGTAAAGGAACTGGATAAATGCCCACCAAACCACACAAAAGAGGAGGAGATAGGGAATCTACCTGATAAAGAATTTCGAATAATGATGGTGAAAATGATCCAAAATCTTGAAAACAAAACAGACTTATAGATAAATAACCTGGAGACAAGGGTCAAGAAAATGCAAGAAAGTTTTAACAAAGACCTAGAAGAAATAAAAAAGAGTCAATATATTAAAAAAAAAAAAGAGTCAGTATATGATGAATAATGCAATAAATAAGATCAAAAACACTCTGGAGGGAACCAACAGTAGAATAACAGAGGCAGAAGATAGGGTAAGTGAGGTAGAAGATAGAATGGTAGAAATAAATGAAACAGAGAGGAAAAAAAGAAAAAAAAATTAAAAGAAATGAGGACAACCTCAGAGACCTCTGGGACAATGTCAAACACCCCAACATTCGAATCATAGGAGTCCCAGAAGAAGACAAAAAGAAAGGCCATAAGAAAATACTTGAGGAGATAATAGTTGAAAACTTCCCTAAAATGGGGAAGAAAATAGCCACCCAAGTGCAAGAAACCCAGGGAGTCCCAAATAGGATAAACTTAAGGTGAAACACCCAAGGCACATATTAATCAAATTAACGAAGATCAAACACAAAGAACAAATATTAAAAGCAGCAAGGGGAAAACAATTAACCCTCAAGGAGATCCCCATAAGGATAACAACTGATAGTTCAATAGAAACTCTTCAAGCCAGAAGGGAATGGAAGGGCATACTTAAAGTGATGAAAGAGAAAAACCTACAGCCCAGATTACTGTACCCAGCAAGGATCTCATTCAAATATGAAGGAGAAATCAAAAGGTTTGCAGACAAGCAAAATCTGAGAGAATTCAGCACTGCCAAACCAGCTTTCCAACAAATGCTAAAGGATCTTCTCTAGACAGGAAACACAGAAAGGGTGTATAAACTCGAAC